CACCAGGTTAGTTATTACAGCTGTCATCCTAGCTGTCAGGAGCTTAACACCAGGTTAGTTATTACAGCTGTCATCCTAGCTGTCAGGAGCTTAACACCAGGTTAGTTATTACAGCTGTCATCATAGCTGTCAAGAGCTGAACACCAGGTTAGTTAGTTAATTAACTATTGTTATTTTTGTTATTTTACCTCATTTCGATGTTATAGTTATTAATATTTTTTTTATATTTATAAAAGTTGTTGTTTTATTTGATTGTTGTTGTTGTAGAGGTGGAACCTGCGGATACAACAGCTTTGAGTTTTCAACTGATCACAGTTTTTATGCTATGTCTTGTGACGGCCCTCATGTACCCCAGGTATATATCTTGTTGTACATGTTTGTATCTAGTGCAAGTTTACATGTATATATAAAGTATATATGTACAGGTGTACATATCTTTATAGTATATATGTACAGGTGTTCATGTATTTAAAGTATCTATGTACAGTTGTACATTCATTTAAAGTATCTATGTACAGGTGTACATGTATGAAACGAATCCGAACAGTAGACTGGAGATCCTGGTGGACAATGCTAAGCTATCCTCTGATCTAGCCGCTAAATCTCTTCCTAAGGTTAAGCATCTCTTTATTAGTTTTGGTTCAGCAACTTTACGTAACTTTCAGTTTTTGGTTTTCTAAGAAAATGTTTTTAAATTGTGCACTTCTGTCTTAATAATTATCAGAATCCAACGCTTTTTTACATTTTTGATCAGATTAAGGTTGCAAGGCTACAATTGTGAATCGAGCATTGTCATCGTTGTATGAAGAGCCACTTTAAATTACGCTTACAGTCCCTTTAAATGAAAATTCCTCCGACCCCCCCCCCCCCGGCTAAGAATTTGTTCAGGCCCTTTAAGCTTGAAAAAGAGTTCAACGACAGGTTGTTAGAGAATTGATTTAGAGCAATTTGCAAGAAATTTTTTTATATAAAATATGTTCCAGGGCCCAAATGGTTTCAAGTACAATTGCAGTATGGAAACAGTACAACAAAATGGCGGTTTTACACTTTTTTCGACTTAATTACACTCTATGTATACTTATTATTATTATTGTTATTAAACAGAACTTCTTGGGAATTTTTTATTCTCTTTGTTGTTAAACTTTCTTCAAACTCATGAAAATCTTCACGATATTTGAGTTCTTAAAAATTTTTGAAAAAAAGAGTCAGGTTCAAGCAAATTTTGAACTTTTTTTATACCAACCATCCGGGTCGAACCAAGGTGCAAATTTTTTTATAATCTTTATTTTATTTAAACTATTTACTTGCGACATTCGAAGGTGCTGAATAATTTTGTTTCAAGGTTGGTAATTTGTAAAAATAAATATCAGACTAAGTTGGTGTTAAGTAAATATAAAAATCAGACTAAGTTGGTGTTAAGTAAATATAAAAATCAGACTAAGTTGGTGTTAAGTAAATATAGAAAATCAGACTAAGTTGGTGTTAAGTAAATATAAAAAATCAGACTAAGTTGGTGTTAAGTAAATATAAAAAATCAGACTAAGTTGGTGTTAAGTAAATATAAAAAATCAGACTAAGCCGTTGTTAAGTAAAAATAAAAACCGACTAAGCGGGTGTTAAGTAAAAATTAAAAATCAGACTACAGATGTTAACTCTACATCTGTCTTAGAAAACATATTTTGGTCTGGTTTAAACTTCTTTAATTCTAATGATACAGTGAGATCCTTAAAACTGTGGAACACCAAACAGGTAGACGACATTCAGGCTGTGTTATGAGTATCTGATGTTTCTATAAATCTATTAAGTCGTCTTCCTATTTGTTTTGAATGTCCTACTGCAAAAACTAAAAATTAAAAAAAAAAATTTTTATTATAGTTGATATCATTTAATATTAATGAGTTGATATCGCAGTGTAGTTGATATCGATATTGATAAACGCCGAGTAATTATGAACTTTCCCCGAAATATCATTTAATTTCTAAATTGGAACTAATTAAGAAAAATCCACTTTTCCCATGAAACATCAGGTAAATCTGAAAATTACACATCAATTACATTTTTTAAACAATCGCAAGTTTAAGATCATTTACATTTTCTAAACATGAATTTAACATAGCTCATATTTTTATAATTTTTGTATTTTTTTACATTTATAAATCGTGCACTGTACCTTTATTAGGTCCGATTATATCTTCCTCCTGACTTTAGTGAGACTAAACGATATCCTCTGGTTATTAACGTGTACGGAGGACCTAATTCTCAGCAGGTAACTTTTAGGATTTCTTTAGGTAATTTTCATGCTTTTAAGGCCCTTTCCTTGAAATTTTAACATTTTCCTCGAAAATTTTGTCACTTTCCCTAAACTCTTAAATTTCTTATGTAACTTGACACATTTCTGAAGTTTTTATGCACTTAAACTAATTTCTTTTTTTCTAAGATACAACATTTTTTAAAAATATTTTCTTTTTTGATTTTAGGCTCTTTTCCCAGGTTTTGGTACTTTTACTAAATTGTAAGCCTACTCGACTGCTTGAATTAAGCCTAATTAATTCAGGCATAATTTATTTGAGGCCTTGTTAATTATCGAGTACATTGCCTGGTTACTGCCTTTATATACAGGCAAACCTAGCCTGGAAGCTAAACATTTATAATCCGGCAGATTAATTGTAATTTCAAATTATCTAAACCAATTACCCCCCACCCCTTTACAACTGTCCGCAATGGGAAATACCCCACATGCCTCCATATGGTCAGTGTTAGGGGTTTACTCCCACCCCCTTCCCCATTGTTTCAAGGGGGGGGGGCGTGGGGTATATAACCTACCACGTGCATTATGCAGTCGATTTCCCATTCCTATTTTGAAAATTTCTGAAAATCCGCGAAAGAACTCTGCATGTACTTTGCTATCTATCTATCACCCAGCCATCTTTGAATTTGTCCGTCATTATTAGAACCATATTTCCGTTTCCTTGACTATTGGATCAGATAAAATAAATACGCGGTTACGCTTGCGTATATTGCGTATACGGGGAAATACGCAGAAAATGACGGATTATCCGTCATTCTCTCTAGTCCATATATGAGTGTATTTAAACTGATCAATATCTATCCTTAAAGATCATCTTTCTCATAATTTATAAAATAAGCCATCTATCTATCTATATATCTATCTATCTATATATCTATCTATCTATATATCTATCTATCTATCTATCTATCTATCTATCTATCTATATATCTATCTATCTATCTGAGCTTGTCTTTGTATGAAGTGTGTTTGGTTAAAGATACCCCGCCTTTAGAATTATTTATTGTTTGCTGAATGTTCCGCCATCTTGTTTTGTCCAACCATCTTATTCATTTAATATTTTAGGATATTTTATTCATTCTAACAGTTTCTTTTGAGCCTTCAGATAAATAAACAGATTGACAGACATCTTTCTTTGATCTATCTATCCATCTATTCTATATATCTATCTATTATGTGTAGATCTATCTTTCTGTTTATCTGATATGATAATTATTGTTTTATTTCTACTCATCAATCTATCTTTTATAACCGATACATATTGAAACACCCTCAATATAGATAGATAGATATAAAATACTAGCTGAAGGACCCGGCGTTGCCCGTGGAAAAAAATAATAAAAAAAATATTTGAATAAAAAATTCGGCCACCCCCATGAGTGTCATCAAAAAGTTTCAGCACAATCGGTCCAGCCGTTTGGCCAGCTATATGCAATATATATATACGAATGTCTTGATTTATCTATCTATATATATATATATAAGATAAGATAAAGTTTATTGCTAAAATAAATGTATCTGTATACAGATACAGATACAGATACAGATACAGATAGAGTTTACAATCACAAAATTGATGATTATATTAACAGTACAAGTATAAAGCAATTAGGTGGAAAATAGCTCTTGGCTGTTTTGATTATTTTTTCCACAAAAATAAAGCTAAGGATACGAACCTTGCCCGACCACAAAATTTTTTTTTTTAAAGCGGTTGGAACAATCCACATTTAACTAAATTTTTTATCTGACCCACCTGGGCACAAAATAAAACATTTTTTGTTAATCTGAAATTACGAAAAAATCTTTTTAAAAATAATCAATTTAATTAAGAATTTTAAGAATAATACCGAAATAGGAGTAAATCTATTTATCTATCTATCTATCTAGGTGAATGATAGGTTTAAGCTGGACTGGGGAACCTACCTGACAACTAGCGAGCAGGTCATCTACGGTCTCATTGATGGCCGAGGATCAGGGTTTAAGGTAAACCTCCAATTCTACATAAATGACCTAAAACTAAAAATCGGAATTTCGTTGCGCGCAACTGTTTACGTATTGCCCGGAATTGTGCGGAATTGCGCGGAAATTAAAGGGTCCGCAATGGCCCGTAAGTAAAATCCAATTAAGTTGAAAACTCTATCTAAAACAGTTCGATCTTTCAAATGCTTCTACAGAATATGGCTCAATACGATGCACGCTTTACTTAGTCCTCCTAATTTAGACGGTATTCCGCGCTTCCTATTGGTTGGAATTCACAAATTCCAACCAATCAGGAGAGCTAAAACCCGGCAGCAACTGTATTTTTCATCAATCTATCTTTTTTCATTTATCTATCTATCTCCGTCTATTAATCTATTTATATATCTCAGGCCATTAATCTATCTATCCATCTATCTCAGTCTATTAATCTATTTATCTACAGGGAGACGATATGCTGAACGAGATCAAATACAACATCGGGAAGGTTGAGGTGGAAGATCAGATAGATGTTACAAATCAGCTCATCAATCTGTATCCTTTCATTGGTAGGTCTATATTCTTTCATTGGTAGGTCTATATTTATTCATTGGTAGGTTTATATATATTCTTTGGTAGGTCTATATTTATTCATCGGTTGGTCTATATTCTTTCATTGGTAGGTTTATACATATTCTTTGGTAGGTCTATATTTATTCAATGGTGATCTATAATCTCTCATTGGAAGGTTTATATTCATTCATTGGTGGGTTTATATTCATTCATTGGTAAGTTTATATTCATTCATTGGTGAGTTTATATTTATTTATTGGTGGGTTTATATTCATTCATTGGTAGGTTATTTTCATTCTTTGGTAGGCTTATTTTCATTCATTGGTGGGGTTATATCTATTCATTGGATAGGTCTGTATTTATTCATTTGTAGATTTATATCTATTCATTTGTAGGTGGTATATATGAATTAATAATCCTTCAAAATTTGGTGAGGGGGGGGGGGTAATTAACTATCTGTCCAACGCAAAGCGCTTAAGTTTTTGCAAAGATGGAAAAATGAAGCAATTACTAGAATTAATTGAGCAATTTCCGAGTTATTTTCATGTTTTGAATAAAACCTTGAAATTCATTAATTCATTCATCTGTTGTGGAGTAATCGTCTATTAAAAACTGGTTTAGTTTGGTTTTCCGGCTATTTGGCATATCTAGGGGTGCAATTACTTAGTGGGGAGGGGGGGGGATTATATATTTGCTCTCAAATAATGAATTTAGTAAATCGAAATTATTGTTGCTGTACATTTTTATTTCTTATAATCTTCCATTTTAAAAAATGTTCGTAAAAAATTAAATATTAATTGTGAAAGCATTTTTTTATCCATTTCATTAAGAATGAATTAATCTTTAAAATCTTTTCATTCAATTTTTCTTTTTTTATTTGAAATATTTACGTAAAATTGTTAAGGTTTTTCCATCTATTTGAAAGATTTTCACATTACGATATCCAAGGTTATAATGCATGGAAAGTTATTTCAGAGGTGTACGCATCTTTTGTACTGCAGTGTACTGTCTCTGGGCTGTAATGTAAACACAAGACGGATGTCCAAGCCTGACATGGGATCCATCTTTCACAAAAAAAATCAATGAAATATTCTGATCGTAGAAAACTATTATGTGACTTATCAAAATAATTAAAATTTATGCTTTTAACCTCCTCGGATACTAAACGAACACTGATGCATCTATTCTTGATTACAAATTCCGCCCAGAGAAAACTGGTTTCAATATGTACGCAGAGTATACGCAACTGCATTTAACTTTCCTTGCATTATAACCTTGAATCTATGCATCTTTTTTCATTTATCTATCTATCTCCGTCTATTAATCTATCTATTTAATGCTTTGTTCCTCCTCGGATACTAAACGAACACTGATGAATCTAATCTTGTTTACAAATTTCGCCCACAGAGAACTGGTTTAAATATGTACGCAGAGTATACGCAACTGCAATTAACTTTCCTTGCATTATAAACAGGGAGTAAGGAAAAGAAGGGAGATATAACTGACGCGGTTCGCCATACCATATGATTACATGCTTTGCAGAGGGGTACTTCATTTGAATAAGATATATTTGTCTAATGTACATATACTGCGTATACAATAACCTATTCTAAATATTTCATATACAAATGGAGTAAGCATTATAATCATATGGTAGGGCGAACCGCGTCAGTTATATCTCCCTTCTATTCCTTACTCCCTGTTTATATCCTTGACCATATCTATTATTATTTCTCTGGCTTGTATCTACTTGTTGAAATATGTGTTTAAATGAATGAAGACTGATGTCAGAGCTGTTATGTTTTGAATCTCTGGATTTACGCAGATTTACGGATTAATTCAATTCCTTTTCGATATCGTGTTGGTCGAACCCTGGGGTCTGTCCTAGAAAACAATTTTGTACATGACCATTAGTACATGCGTACAAAACACAAAGACGGCTAACGTAGTAAATATTTATAAAAGTTCTGAAAATAAATAAAGAAAATTGATATTGCAGAAATAATAAAATTGCTGAAACTTAACAGAAACAATTTTGGGCCGAGCGCTGCGGCTAGGACAGGCTAGGGGGCCGAGCGCTGCGGCCACGTGTTTGGTTAAGTTTTGACACTTTCATTGCGGGCTGAAAATTTGGTTTGGCTGTCTCCGACAGGAGATTCAAGTTGAAGACGACATTTTATAGAGGTTTTAAATTAATGGTTAACAATGTTATATAACCAAATGTCTACTGATAACAATCATATAGTTGAACTCATACCATTAATTCAGTGCTTAGGATCCAAGGGGTAAAATACCAACCAAAAACTGCAAAAAAAAACTTTTTTACTCCTAAACTTTTGAAAAAAGAGATTATAAAAATTTCCTCATTTTTGAATAATTTATTAAGTTTTAGGATAAAAACAAGCAAAAAAATTTGAAAATTATTTTTTGTTAAAAATTTTTAGTAAATCTTAAAAAAAGACCTGGATCTGGATCCGGATCCCTTTTTTCCAGTGCGGATCCAGGATCCGGATCCGGATCCGCATCAAAATTAAATGGATCCTAAGCACTGCAATGTAATCCCCTTAAAATATACGAATTAAAATGCACAAATTTATTTTCAATCCGATTTTTCTGGTACAATGTTCGTACTTATTTCATATTTGTCAAGGAACATCTTGTTTTTAGAATTATGAAATTCCTAGATAAATGCAGAATAACAGTTTTCTTAATTGAATTAAAATTTAAAATTTTTCATTTTTGTTTAATATTTTAAGTTTTATATTAAGTGCTTTTAAGAACTATTGGTAAATGTTAATTTATATCAAAAGTTATGAAAACTGTCAAAACTATTCGCATATTTGATATTGTTTAAACTGTAAAACTTTTAGTGGAGAAGAGAAATATTTTCCGAAATAAGTTACTAGAAATTTTAAAATGCTTGAAATTGCAGTAGAATCTAGGTGTTTAGAATAAAAACCCTTGAAGATAATTGTTTTTAACGTTATCAAATTTTGAAATTTTAGATTTTTCTTCTTTCTCATAAAATCTAAATGAATTTTAGTTAAAGATACAGGGTTACCCATAAAGGATGAGACTGTAAAGATGACCCAAAACTCTAAAAATATGACGATTTGAAGATTGATTTTGGTCTATAAGAAACACTGAATGCAAAAAACGGACTTTACAAATTCCGTCTCTAAAGTCTCATCTTTTGTGGGTAACCCTGTATTTAAAAAATATTAGAGAAGGAAGCAACTGAATAGTTGAAAGCACTATGAATGTAAAGAAACCTAAATTGAATCCGTGCAGTCGTCTCTGAACTTTTGAAGAGTAACTCTGTAATTTTACTGTAAAAACGTGTATATGTTTAGGTCTTATATTCTCGGGTTTGTGAAGAAACTTGTAATGCTTGGACCTGGTACAAAGGATGATGAACTACAATCCATTCTCAATTATCTTACTACAGTACATGAGGTAAACAGTATACTGTACTGTACTGTACAGTACAGTACATTGCAGTACAGTACAATACAGTACAGTACAGTACAGTACAGTACAGTACAGTACAGTACAGTACAGTACAGTACAGTACAGTACAGTACAGTACAGTACAGTACAGTACAGTACAGTACAGTACAGTACAGTTGATTTGTTGTTGTTTAGTGTGGGATAAGTGTTGCTCCGGTTACGAACTGGATATATTACGACAGTATCTACGCAGAAAGGTCAGTACAGTACAGTACTGTATAGAAAGGTCAGCAGCTGTTTTTTAGTTTAGTTTTTTAACTCTTTTTATAAACTGTTTCCTTTACTAAGCTCTTACTTTTGAACTTAATTGAAGCAACTTTCCGTTTTTAGAGCTGCCTCATTTTTAAAGCTTTTTCTTTTTAAACATCTGTCGTCTGTATATAAAAGTAGTATTTTTTTAATAAGCTTGCTTCTTTTAAAAAGCTGTCTTTTCTTTTAAAAAACTCTCTTTTTATTACTTGTTTTCTTTTTATAAACTGGGTTTCCCGATTACAAATTTAGCCAAATCGATCATTCAAGGGGTTCATGAGTTATGATCGGACATACCGACAAAAAGAAATATATATATAAACTAAGTTTCTCATATTTACTCCCGCCGTTTACCCGCGCTTGGTCGTAAATTACGATTTCAGCTATTTTTCCTTATTAAATTCGACCCAATCAACTTAGAACTGTTAAACCAAGTTAAACCATGCTTCTCCCAAGTTCTCTGATGCAAATTTGAGGTAAATCTGTCCAGGGGTTCAATTTTCATGAGTTATGATCGGGCATATACAAATAGACTAACAGAGATTACAGCTATATATATATATACAACTATATATGATATATAGATATTGTCTCTGTTAAACTCCCTTCATTAAAGGAAATGAATTAACTATTTTCAAATGTTCAGGTATCTTGGTCTGCCAACCCCTGGGGATAACCTGCGTGGCTATCAAGCAAGCGATGTGACCGCCAAGGCTAAGAAGCTCGCCAACAAGAAGTTTCTCGTGGTTCATGGCACTGCAGGTTAATATTGATTTTTTTCATTTAAGGGACATTGACATAATTTTATGTGATCCTCCATTAAGATTTATTATGCTAAATTCACAATCACTGTAAACTAGCTCGAAGGAGAAGGTCGTCGTTGTGACCTCGTAGCTTCTATAGTTTTGATTTACGCACAAGTATAAGAAAGGCAAAGGTGGCTTAGTGAGTAGCGTCACATGCCACGGAACTGCAGGCAGGGGTTCAAACCTTCATCCTGAGATTGCAACTAAGAAAATAGGCCAGGTAGATGTAATAGTTGAGTAGGTCTCATGAAGTATGCGGGGTCCATGAGACAATTTTAACAAACTTCTCTGGTGCCCGAACCTTACCCCACTCAGTAGATGGAAAACGAACTTCACAGCCTATTTCCATGTCCATAAACGCTCCTATGGTTTTATGGCTACAACAACAACAACAGAAATTCAAAACATTTTTGTTCTTCCTAATAGCTCTTCAATAAGAGGAGTTACGATTGATAGCATTTAAGTCTTAAAGGGAATGACCGGCAATGTATGTTAGTTGAACTGAGATTGTAGTATTGTGAAGAATTTTTTTGGATTCATTTGAGACATTAAAAATGTGATGAATAATTACTGAGTTAGAGCACAAAGTCGACGTTCAAAATCATCTATTTGGGTGACTGCGTTTTGAGAATCGATTTTTTTAATTATTAAATAACAACGACAAAAAATGTATCAAAAATTCTACAGTAAACTAATAAGGTGTTTAGGAACACATTTCTCAATAGAAATATGATAATAAATCAATGTAAGAATCAGTTATTTCCTTTTCATCATTATATTGAACCTCTTATTATTTACGAATTTGTTTAAAGATTTCTACAAATTCTTCAAATGTCAGTTTTTCAATAAAAATTACAGAAATGAGAAATTACAGAAACAAACAACTGAATAAGATTACTAAACAACTAATTAGTTCACTATAGAATTTTTGTTACTTTTTTGTCGTTGATATTTATTAATTTAAAAAAAAATCAATTCACAAAACGTAACCACCCAAATGGATGATTTCTAAAGTCGACTTTGCGCTCAATTTCAGTAATTTTACATCATTAAAACGTTTTATATGACTGAAATGAATCCTAAGAAATTTCTCCACGATACTACATTCTCAGTTCAACTACCTTAACTTGCCGGTCACTCCCTTTATGTGCAATTTATTTTAGCTTGGCTTAAAATTGTACTATTTAAACCTTTTTTTTGAACGAAATTGAAAATTGACATAATTCTCAGTTGCGGTTTGTGGTTTTATGTAGCAGACACAGGGAAAGGAATTGCAGATTTATAAGAAAATATCTTTATTTTTAAGTTCGCAGTTTTATAATTTTAAAATCACCTCATAGACCAACCAAAAAAGTTGGTGTCATACTTTATTTTCTTAAACTTAATGCTGAATTCAGATTCGAAAACCATTTGAAGAAAATTAGAAGGAAGAAAAAACTTTTTATTATTTTTTTCTGTTTAGATGACAATGTTCATTATCAGCAGTCGATGATGTTGACAAGAGCCATGGAGGAAGCAGATGTGCTCTTCAGGTAATCAATCAATCAATCAATCAATCAATCAATAAATTAATCAATCAAACGATTTTTCATTATCTTTAAAAAAAGTATTCATTGAGACCTGTTAATTACAATAAAAGGAAAGAAATATCCATAAATAATAAGTCAATCAATTAATAAATGAATTTTAGAATCAATTAATTAATTAATTAATCAATCAAGCAATTTGAAATATGAATTTTAAATATTAGCAAAAGCAAAATAAAAAATGTTATTTAGACAATTGAGTTACCCTGATGAGGCCCACGGTATTGTTGGACTCCGCCCACATTTCTACCACGCCCTCACAGATTTTCTTCTCAACGACTGTTTCGAGTCAAACAGCGTAAAGAGATTGTAAACAGAATGCTGCAACACATTCTGAGTGCAATGTGGATTCTATTAAGAATGCCGCAATACATTCTGATCGCAATGTGGATGCTAAGAAGAATGCCGCAAAACATTCTTATCGGAATTTGAAATGTGGATTCTAAACAGAATGCCGCAAGTGATTCTTAACATTTGAGCCAGAATGCCGCTGAACATTCTGAGCGTAACGTTAATTCTAAACATTATGCCGCCAGTGATTCTCGAGGTGACTCTGACTCCACGGATTTAAAGTAAAATGCCGTAAAATATTGATTGCATATTGCGGGAAAGGATTTAAAAAAGTGGTTAAAATGAAGTGCGTATTTTTTTGCCCTGTAAAATGATAAATGACACTTTATATATCCGATGTGAACAATATTTCAGTGACTTATTGTAAGAAAAAAGTGGTGGTGAATGTAAGTTGAACAAATATTTATTGGTTCGAGTAAAAATGAATTGTAAAAAGTCAAATATTTCAGTGTAAACAACCTCTATTGACAAGTAAAAAATAATGTCTATTTAGTGATCGTATAGTGATTTTAAAGATATACCAGGCAAAAAAAATTCTGCATGTGTATTTTTTTATAATCTTATTTAGTTGAAAGAAAAAAATTTGTAGAAAAAAATCTACCTTGATCAATCTTCTCGAGCTTTTTTCATGAGATGTATTATACAAGTGTGATTTATAAAGATAGACCAAGTTTTTAAAATCAGCCTTTTTTCGACCAATTTTTGAGGGGCATCTCATTAATTGGTCTCCTGATATTATTTTTAAAAATTTTTTACATATACATATATAGTTCCTAGCTCCAATTTTTTGGGGTTATTTAACTTCTGCTTAAACGTTTTATGAATTTAGTTATTTTTTTCCTAAAAAGTTTTGGAAAATGGTAATGGGAATCTTTTTTGTTTAAAATGAAAAAATTTCCGAAAAATACTTTTTTTAGGTTTTACCAATTTTTGAGGGGCATCTCTATTATTTGGTCGATTTATCTACTCAAATATTATTAAAAAAGAAGTAATGATTTATGTTTTATACAAATGAGATTAGCAAATATTTAAAGAAATGCAAACGCTTGAATTCGACCAATTAAAAAGGGGCATCTCTTTAATTGGTCGAAGTACCTTATTAAAACAACAAATAGTTCACTGTAAATTTTTTTTATCCTGACAAATAATATATATAGTGCCTTAATCATTTAATTCACTCATGATAATTAAAATAATGCAATAAATTGTGTTGAAAAAAAATGTCCATAATTTTTAGAAATAAGATAAGGATTGTTTAAATATTTTGGCAACCTTGATACATTTCTTAAAGATTATTATTAAATCTACAGAAAATATTATTAGTGATCTGATCCCAACTGATTAAGCTATTTTTGTCTAATATATTGCTTTGCCCTTAGAAAAAAATGCCGAAATGAAGGTAGGAAAAAAAAGTTTTAAAACCCTTTTTTGTTTTTGACAAATGTCAAGGTACGATACGTGTTTTCTATCTATTTTTCAAGGGCTTTTGAAAAATGTAGTTTTTAACGAGAGTGTCAGAACAAAATAAAGCAGCCCTCCCCCCCCTCCCAGTCTGTTAAGNACAGGTATCACAATTATCTTATTATATCACGATTATCTTATTATATCACGATTTAGAATCGAACTTGGGTTAAATCGCTGCCTTTCTTGCTTCTGTTTTCTCTATGTTTTCTCAATGTGTTATGAAAAATGATACTAACCGTTTTTCTGCTTTTTGCACTAACAAATATAAACTTCAAACAAGATTCTGTAATGTCTGTAATATTTGGCAGGAGTGACCAAGTCTGTGATTATTATTGTTTCATAACAAAAAATATTGCTAAAATCTGGTTACATATGTTGAATGCTGAAAACCAATTTATTTATATTTTTCCGGGTTCTGAAAGCAATCGAAAATTTGATAACTATTGAGTTTCCAGATGTTTCATGGCAAAGCGCTTGCTTATTTATAACTTAATTTTTACAAAATTTTTGTTTATTATTGATTTTGTTTTTTGGTTGTTTTGATATTCTATATTTTGAATTTTGGTTTTTCTCAGATTATATATTCCATATATGTGAAGTACGAGACACGTAAAACCTAGGATGATCATTTTAGAAAAGTAAAAAAGAGAGCGGAAACGGGTTTGCTCTAGTTTTTGGACTTTTGAATTTTGATAAGCCAGTTGTGAGCCATGCTAAGCTGGGAGCTGCCGATCATAGCAGTGTTGATCAGGATGCACTGTTCGAGCTGATCCTATCCACTTGGGGACTGAGTCCTGTTTTAGTTATAGTATTTATTCAAATATTGCTAAAATCAGGTTGAATCTATGTTGAATGCTGCAAACTATTAAGTTATCAATCTATTTATATTATTCCGGGTTATTAGAATAGGACTGTACAATAACTGTCAGTATCAAAGATTTAATTATTTTAAATATTTTATTTTGCATCATATTATCAAAAAAATATTTTACAAAAATGTTACACTTGACATTTCTTGCATGAAAATTAGCAAATATATGGTTCATTTCTGCACGACACGGTTATACTATATATATGTTTTAAGTTTTATCTTTTTAACATTTACAGAAAAATGAAATGACATCTTAAAAGCTTTAATTAAGACATTTTTTCATTCTTACAAAGTTACTAATACAGAGGCCGAATTTTAAGAATTTAAACCACGTCGCTCATCCGCCAAAAACCGGTTCCAATTAAGCGCCGGTTCGAATCTCGAAACACTGAATACAATTTCATGTGGAACCAACCATGTTTAACCCGCATCTCATATTTTTGAGCCGCGGCTCAAATTATTTGAATTTGGCCTCAGATTTGTAGTTAGAATGTTCAAGTTATTACCGTTCATTAAAACACAATATTCTAAAAGGTTAGTGCTTAAATATTAAATATCTGTATACAAAGTCATCTTTCTTACAAATTGAGCGATGGAGATTTTTTTTTTTTTATTGCAATTGCAGGCTCTTAAGACATAGAGTCTTCATACACCATTTTTAAGTGGTATAAAAGTTGCATAACATTTGTATTAATTAAGAAGGGCATTTTGTAACAATCATTCAATTTTTCGGTTGAAAAAAAAATAGTTTTTTTCATTATTAAAATATAAAATTTTGAGAAAATTCTTTCGCAATCTTTTGTTTTAAACATCAGCCTCAGTTGCTTAGTTTGATAAAATAAATTCTTTGGCAATTTTTAGTTTTAGTCAGATAGAAGATCTTATTTGGCAATAGTTTAGTTAGAAAGTAGACCCCCTCGGGCAATAGTTTAGTTAGAAAGTAGAGCCCCTCGGACAATAGTTTAGTTAGAAAGTAGACCCCCTCGGGCGATTGCATGCAGCTCCATAACTCTTTGAAGCATCTCTTCTTGATACCTAGGAAACAGTTTTATTTTAAATTTTGATCAAGAAAAAATCTAGAAATCTCTGAAATAGGAAGACACATACTAAGACTCTTATCAAGTTAGAACTTTAAAAGTCCAATGAAAATGAAACATTAAAAATTGTGCAGTGTAAACAGACCAATTTTACTAAATTACAATAAGTGTCTAGTGAAACTATTTGCTTTGTAACAACATCAAACACCCCTGTATGCCGAGTCCATTAGCGCCTGATCAAATCAGGGTTCAGTCATGTGTTTGTTGTCTATTCTGAACCAATAGAAATAGTATGGCAGTAACATCTATCTTTCTATCTATCTCATTATCTAATTAGAGATAAATCCTTAAATCGGCGCTATACACTAAATGGAAATATTTACTTCTACTGAAATTATAGTGCAAATACGCTTAAGTATTGCTAAATTGTCGTCTTCCTATTCCATTGTTTTCTGATTCCCACTATATTAATGCTGAAGTAAGAAAGAAAATATCAAAAATTAACTATGTTCCAGATAGAAAAACGACAATATCTTTCGCAGTCTTGCTCAGTAAAAGTCCTTCGTTACTTTTTATAAACAACTGAAGGATTTCCAACTTTCGCGAAATTTTTTTGTATTTCTCAATATTTTTCGCGAAATTCTGTTGTAAACCCACAAACAAAAATTAAAAGTTTCAAGAAGGAAAATTATTGATATCTAATTTATACTTGATCAGATAAAAGCTTTCAAGGGTGCCGTTGTAAATCAGACATTGCCATCTTTGTATGGAGGGTCACTTGAAATTGCGCTTACAGTCTCTTTAAGGTGTAAGAACTAAAGAGTAACATTGTAAATCGGACAGACAACTGAAAAGTCACTCGAAAATGCGTAGACATTCCCTTTAAGTCAAGTAAAAATTGGGAAAGTTTCCTTTAATTATCAAACTTACTTTGTCATTTTCTCGTCCTGAATTCCGCTTTCTTGAGTTTCATTTCTCATCCTCTGAAGTTCTGCAACCAGCATTGCCATCTCTCTTCCCTTCCTCTCCGCCTCTTCCCTATATATAGGTAACTATATTATAATCTATTTATTTCTCATTCTCTGAAGTCATGCTAATATAGCATTGCTATCTCTCTTCCCTTCTTCTCCGCCTCTTCCCTGTATAAAGGTAACTTATATTATAATCTATTCATTCATTTCTCATTCTCTGTAGTTCATCATTGCCAGCTCTCTTCCCTTCCTCTCCGCCTCTTCCCTGTATAGGTAACTGTATAAAAAACTATTTTTTTCTCATCCTCTGAAGCATTGCCAGCTTTCTTCCCTTCTTCACCGCCTCTTCCCTGTATATAGGTAACTATATTATAATCAAGAGCTGCTGAAGTTCAACTGAGTCGTGTTATTGAGCAAGAGAACACCTTCAAGGTTTTTAGGAAGTAACAATATTATAATTTATTCTTCACAGTTAATCTCCAGTTATAGAGGGGCTCGTCCGATTCACAAGGAAACACTTAAAAGCTATATGGTTGATCAAGAATGAATAACACTGACTTGAAGATTTTGCTGCAGAAACAATAGAAGATATCGACAGAATTAAACACTTTTCAATCTTCCGCAATAATGGTTAAAAAAAGCTCATGGTTATCGTTATGAAACGGACTAGTCCCATTAAATGGAGGGTCTGGCGATTTTTACATTAGCGTCTGATCCAATCAGGGTTCAGTCATGTGTTTGTTGTCTATTCTGAACCAATTGAAATGTATGGCGGTAACATCTATCTTTCTTTCTATCTCATTATCTAATCAAAGTTGTGAATCCTTCAATCTCCGCTATCAGTAAATTAAAATATTTACTTCTACTGAACTATAGTGGTGTGATAAACTTGAAAAAAAGAAAAAATGTATGTTTTATTGATCAAATTGTGATAAAAGTCGCAGTTGCTGGAACAAATAAAAAAAATTTAAAAAAATAAAAGACATAGCTTAAAGCTTTTGTTCATTCAGAATTTCAGAAAAAAAGTTTTGAGTCTATTCGTAAATAGAAATAAAAACCAATAATTTGATAAGAAAGAAAGCGTCGAAAACTTTTAATGAATATCTTGAGATATAAAAAAATAAGGTTTCATGTTTTGTTTAAAAGGTACAATAAAGGTACTAATGCAAGGAAAGTTAATTGCGGTCGCGTATACTCTGTGTACATATTGAAACCAGTTCTCGCTGTGTGGTATATGCATCAGTTTTCCTCTGGTATCCGAGGGGATAAAAGCATTTAATTTTGAAAATTGACATAATAGTTTCCTATGACCAGAATATTTCATAGATTATTTTTGTGAAAATGGATTCCATGTCAGGCTGTGACATCCCTCTGGTGTTTACTTTTCCACCCAAAGACAGTACACTGTAGTACAAAAAATGTGTACACTTCTGAAATAAGTTTCCTTGCATTATAACCTTGCATTTGATCATCATGTTTGATTAAACCTTTTTTTTAGCAAATTTATTGTGTTTTGCACAGTTTGAGTTTTGCAAAAAAAATAACTACAGACTGGAAAATGCAAACTGGCATATTGCCAATTATACCAGGAACTCATATGACCTGGGGGGCCAACGACGGGGGCGAGGCGAGGGTACAGAACTTTTATTTTAGGGGTGGGTGAAGTTGCATAGAAATTCATGAGTTACAATTTTCTGAATTTGATTTTCAATTTTCTGCCGTTTTCTTGTCTTTGTCAATAAAAGATATCATAAAAAAAAACTTGAAAAAATGTAAAAATCTTGAAAATTTTTAAATATAGAAAAAAATTTATTTTAATACAGTATAATCCAGAACTTAGGAGAAAAATTTTTAAAAGGTTTTCTTAACAATTTTTCAATTGGTTTTATACTATTCAACCTAAGCGGGCAATTGTAAAAAAATAGCCATGAAATATGCGAGAACAGTTTTAAAGAGCTCCATAAAGTTATTCAATCAACACATTAACTGCACATTCCATTATCAGTAGGTTTAGAAGACGACATTTTATCAATTCTATCAATGTTTCCAAAGTTCTGGATTAAACTGTACCTACGAAGAGCCTCCTGGTATAATCTCTCCTCCTCTTCTTCTTCAAATGCAATATTTCTTGCATTCATCATCATTTCCAGTTCTACCAGATCAACAAATATCATTTTTAGTTTGGTTGGGGTTAGGGCTTTAAAGGGACTGTTAACGTAATTTCAAATGAAATTCCATTAATAAAAGAGGGATTCGTTCGATTCACAGCTGTACTCTTCTACTTTTATCATTCTGATTGTTTTACGACAATCTGAGAAGGGTTCAACGATTTAGAATTGTATTCTGTAGAAGTTTGCTTTTATCAAAAATGAAAATGTATTATCCTAGGTGAAAATAAGGCAAAAACAAACAAAAAAACTAACGTTTTAAATTCTAAGGTAACTAAATTGCATGTTTGATAAAAGCAAACTTCTACAGAATAAAGTTTTAAAATATTGGAACCATCTAATATTGTTGTAAAACCTTAAAAGTTTCCGTAAAACGAATCTGGCTATTGCCCATCATAATTGTATCGAGCAGAATGCAAGCGTTTGTTACTTTATGGAGAAACCACAAAAACCACAAAAAAGAAACTTTAAAAGAGTAAAAAATTGATGTATCATTCAGTGGAAGGGGGATTTTCTTAAAGATCGTCATTTCAATTTATACGGTAAAAATATCACAATCTCAAAATCAAATAATCAAAAATAGGTGATCTGATAATTTCGAACTTGAAGCTATTTTAAAGGAAATTAAATGATTAAATATTCCTCGTTCTCTTGCTCTCCTCATTTCTTCTATTTTATCCTCTTCATCCTGTTTCATCCAATTGTCCGCTATCCTCTAAAATATCAGGAAAACACTGTAAACGTTATTTCAAGTGACCCTCCATGCAAGATGGCAATGCCCGATTCACAATTGCACCCTTTAAAGCTTTGTCTGATCAAGTATGGCTCTGTAACATTTTGCCAAGTACAAATTCACCTAGTTCACTTTCGCCAAGTACAAATTCGCCTAGTTCAAGTTCGCTTAGACAACATTTTGCCTAGATAAAATTTTGCCTAGACACAGTTTGCCTAGACAACATTTCGCCTAGATAACATTAAAGGTAGTTTTCGCCTAAACAAAAATTTTTTAAATTATATTTAACCAGTTTTTTAGATAAAAAATACGCAATCTTTATTAAAAAAAATTGCAACTTTTTTTTCAGTGCAAATTATTCATTTGGTATCTGACATTGATGTCGACATGACGTCCTTAATTTGTCTCCAATGGACCTGGTAGTCAAAAGGTGATAAAGCTGTTTATGAAGAGAAGATTGATAATTTTGAGAAATACTATTGACAATCTTGGATTAAAAAACGATACTGATGCATGACAAGCATATCTGTCTAATTAAGTTGGCCAGGATATGGCTGATAAAGTAGGCAGAAAGCAGAGAGCCAAGGATGCAAAACAGGGGGTTAAACTGGTGGTAGAAACTATTATAATACATTTTTTGTTTAGAAATTAATGAATTTATCAAGGCGAAAATTTCCCTGTAATGTTATCTAAATGTTTTAAAACTTTTATTCATAAATTAGTGTTTGTAAAAATATATTTAACCCTGCAAGCGATTCATTGAAACCCTAAACCCTTATTTCATATTTATTGGAACACCCTGTGCCTTTGGTTCATGCTAATTAAGAAACCTACAACCTGTACCTAGCTGGGGCTGTGTTAATTGGGACTCCCTGTATGCACCTTACTCCATGTTTTTTGGGACACCCTGTACATAATTTTGTTCACGTTTTTGGGTCACCCTGTACCTTTGATCTTGGTGCTCGTCTCAGCTGTTGATCCTGATTTTCTTGATTCTGGTTTCCTGAATATCGTTCTCCCAGAGGCTGTTGGCCTCGGGACGCTCTGAAAGCCTCCAGTTCACGGGAAGCCTCCGATTTTTGAGTCCGCGATTGCTCAAACATCTAAAAAAATTGAATAATCAATTTGGTTTTTGAAAACATACAGTGATTAACAGAAAACAGTGGCATAGCATTACTCGTGTATTTAATGTTGTTACAAAGCAAATAGTTTTACTAGACACTTATTATTAAATCACTAATTTAGTAAAATGGGTCTGCAGTTCACACTGCTGAATTGTTGTGTCTTATGCTCATTGGAGTTTTTAAAGTTATAACTTGATTCCAAAAGTCGTCTTACTATTTCAGACGTTTCTGGTCATCACTGTAATAAAATTGATTTAGGGCTAATATGAAAGTACAGGGTTACCCACAGAGAATGAGACGACTGTACGGAATTTATACAGTCTTTATAATCACAATCGTAGTTTTCTGCTGCAGTTGTGATTAAAATACTATTTTTTATACTTTGTGAGTATCCCTCCGTCTGAAATAAAGTCTTGGAACTTTAATTACTGCAATTAAAATTCTGTCGCTTGCATTAAATAGATACCTTGGAGCTACAGATATTGATTAATAAATAAAAGAAAGTCTTAAATGTCTGTATAATTCTGTAAAATTAAAGTTTCTGTCCAAATTCCGAGTTTGATACCTAAACGATCCGGAATTTTCGGAATTCCGTTTATATTACAATTATGACGCGGAATTCAACTGTTCAGAGAATTCAGATTTCCAAATTAGATTTTTTCTCTCGGAAAGAAATAAACCCTAAATAAAATCCTCTACCTCCTCTTCTAATTGCATAGCCCTAGCCTTGCGCATAGATTCCAGTTCTCTCTCCCGTTCAATTCTTATTCTCTCCAACTTGTCGTCTTCCTCAAGTCTAAAAACAAAATGGCGTCTTGGGATGAAAAACAACTTTTCATGTGACCTATTAGAGATTGTAAAGAAAGAAATCATTAAAATGACATCATTTTTATCTCAAGATTTATTCTAAAATAGTTCAACAACTCATCACCACTCTCCATCATCCTTGCGGGTACAGTACGTACTCTGTATATGCATTCAGCCGTAACGTCCAGTTTTGCTACCCAGTGTAGAGTCGACCCAGCACGTTTTATGCAACCAATGTAGCCTGGCAAGATCACAGTAAACTGTCGTGTGCATTGAACACAGTCTTTGAATTAACAAGTACTTTAACCAGTACTTTAACTTGGTATGTAGTTAACTTAAAATTCGGTGATGGAAATGGACCAAACCTCTGTAGAGTAAAAAAAAGTAGATGTTAGTTCCACATTTATTGAAAAATAAATTTTGGTCTGGGTTGACCCTTTTCAGTTCTTGAGATTGTTTCTTTTTTGAGATCTAGATATTTATTATCTCCGTATCGAGATTATTTAAATTGTACAAAATAGTTTACAAGGATTAAATAAGACCGTTTTACATCAAACTCGTTTACATATTGTTTCTGTCAGGTAGTTTTATTAGTTTCAAATCATATTTATTAAAGTTTTTACGTTTTTAAAGAAGAACATCAACCAAATTTAAAAAATATTAAGAAATGCGGGCTTTAGCGTTACGCGTGCCCCTTTTCTAGCAACATTTTAGCCTTTAACTGTTGCTATTCAAATCACCATTTTTCATAGTTTTTCTAATTAAATTGGTGCATTTTTTAAAATAATAAATGTCGTTATTTTTACCGGGCATCATTTTCAATTATAGTTTGGTCCGATCGGTTTAGCCGTTTTGACGTTTATTGGATACAAGCAGACCAGCAAAATGAATATATAGATTAAATACCTGTCAATTTTAAACCCTTGTCTAGCCGCAGCTAGCCCAGGGGAGACCTCGCGTACAAATCTCTTGGCAGACTCAGCCTTTGCAAAAAAATATGTTTCTTTTTATATTTTCAAAATTCATTCATGGTTTAAGGTCAATAAAAGGGTCTTGTTTGAAATCATTAATATGGCCAAAAATTTAACCTCTAATATGGCCAAAAATGTAACCTCTAATATGGCCAAAAATTTAACCTCCCTGAATTTTTGTCAGAATCCAAATAAAAGTTTTAGACATTTTTTTGTAAGTTTGAATAGATTTTTGTTCCTGCGTGTTTATATTTGAAAAAATATCATATTGTGCTATGAGGTTAATTTTATAGACTTGACGTTTTACAGATAGACAGACAGACAGATAGACAGATAAACAGATAGACAGTTTCAAAGATGACAATTTAATTTCATAGAGATTTCAGAGGGTGCTTTATAGTTTTCATAGACTAAAAAAACATTTTAACATAATGTTTTGTAAAAAAACATTTCATTGACAATGAGGTTAAAAAGTCTTATGAATTAATGAAGTACAGTCGTCGTCATATACATCAATACAATGAAGACGACTTTTGATTTCAATTTTGATTTCTACCAAGCTTTCAAACAGCTTGGATACACAAAAAAATAGAAGCAAAGAAAAGCTGTCAAATAACATATTCTTTTAATGTTTACTTGTAAAATTGTAATTTGATTTGAAAAAAGCTTATTAGAAATCAAATCCTTAACAGAAAAGTCGTCTTCATTGTATTTATATATACGCCGACAACTGTATATGAACTACAAGTACACACACACACTGAAAGTCTAACTACTCCTCCGTTCTCTGGTTGGTTTAAATCCTTGAAATACCTGGACACGTTCCTCCTCCTCTAGAGCTTGCTGTCGCGCCATTCTCATCATGTCCATCTCCCTCTCTCTCTGCTTCCTGAAAGGGACTGTTCTCAAATAAATGTTGAAATTTAAATTTGGAAATCCCTGTAGCTCTCCTTTAAACAATTTATCCAAATCGAACAATAAAATCCCTTGAATATTGTGTCGAGATTTAACTTATAGGGATTATATTGAAAGAATTTAAAATCAAGCTTAAAGGGACAGTAAGTGTAATTTCAAGTGACCCTCCATGAAAAGATACCAATGCCCTTTTCAAGAGTACCCTTAAAAACTTTGTCTGATCTTCAAACTGCTCATTTTTATTTTTTGGTTTCTCTGAAAAAGTGACTTGCGCATTTCTTGCTT